ACTGCGAAGCTTCTGCCGTGCATAGATTGGCCAGCATGTGGAGTGGCCAGAGCAGGGCTGCAGACCCCTCAAGCCTCCGGCGTGTGTAGAGCAGCCAGCCCAGGAGTGGCTGTCTCGATGACAGGTCTTGGTCCTTTGCAAAGTTATCTTAGTCGGCTGCTCAGGGTGCTTTTTATCATCCAGGTCCCAGGGCCCTCTGGTGCTGCGGCTTGCTCCACTCCCCTGCAACCGTAACTCATCATTTTCTCTGGGTGCCTCGGGGGTGAACATTCGCCACTCCCCCTCCGGGGCCTTGTCACAGTTAGGATTTTGGCAGGACTGAAGGTTAAAGCAGCTGAGGCTGACGAGGCAAAGCTGATTTGCGCTGCAAGTTTACTCATGGGTAACTCAGTGGCTCCCTAACTGGCAACTTTTTGCCTGCAAGAAGGACTGGTAGTCGAGAGTTGCTCTGTCTTCCGTAATCGCCCACCTATACCTATCTGGTGTGTGTGGGGTCCTCTGGTCTCCCGAAGGGGCATCTGAAGAGTGAGGTTGCCCTGAGCCGGCAGAGCTGGTGCTGGATCCTCAGGCTGCTCTTCAGGCTCTGGGGGAACGCATGGGGGCAGGGTTTCAATTATTGGCTCACCTGGGACATATGGGGGTTGAGCTACTAATGGCTCCTCTCCTGGGGGCCCTGCAGGATTGGAGCTGTGGGTTTCTTTGGAGCAGAGTTTGGCACTGGGGCATGACACCCATGGCCAAAACAGTGCATTGGTTTTCTCTTATGCAGATGTGCGCCCAGGGTGGACTGACTTGGGCTTTCTGTAGCCAGGAGTCAGCATAGGGAAACTGCTCAGGGGGCCGGGGTGCCAATAGCAACGTCGTACATGGCCCACATGGTAGGGATATATAAGGTTCCCTGCGGCGGCCATCTGACCTTGAGCGAGGGCCATTCAGTCTCACAGAGAGTTCCCAACTTCTCTGGTTTCATTTTAACTCCATGGTCACCAGAGAAGTCCTTTTTAAAAAATTAGTCAGCATATAGTCCGGCATGGTGGGCTTGGATGGCTTGGATTGAGGTTCTCCTATAGTATTTAAAACGTGTGACCTCTCTAGTTACTAAGAGCCTGCACTTCCCAGAAGGCCCAGAGCTCACTGGCTGGAGGATGTGACTGATGAAGCAACTCTGGAGGGATGTGGGCTCCTGGAGGTGGGCCTTCGCCCAGAGGCTCAGAAGCTGTGCAGTTCCTGGGGCGCTGTGGAATAGGCCGGGCAGGGCCGGGGATAAGCCTGGCCAAGGGCTGCAATCAGAAGGGCCACAGCTGTCTCTCTGGGGTCCACGCTCTCGGTATTCCAGTGGTGGATACCCCGATGCTGGAGACGGGTATTTCTGTGTCGGGTAGCAGGTGGAATGGAAGAGGACACGGGAATGGAAATTTGTTGTGCTAATGGACGAGGAAAGGCTGACTACGTGGAGGGTGATGCCTGCCGTCTCCTTTCCTGCTGTGACCCTCCTCTCCACCTCGATGGTTCTTGCTTTGGCTAGATGTTGCCTTCAAATGTAGCCTGAAGTCACTCCCACCAGGAATTGAGTGAGGGCCTTCAGAAGGTTGAGAGCCGCTCCTGGGAGGGAGCTGGATGTTGCCCACCTCCCAGAGGTCGGCCCAGAGACCCCACCTCACAGGTGAGAGGTGAGGCTCCTCCCAGGCGAGGTTCCTCCCAGGCGAGACTCCTCCCAGGTGCTCTACATTTACTCACCTGCCTTCCGCTGTCTGTTGCCCCTTCCAGACTCGATTCTTGGAGGGCACCAGTGCCCAGAAGACAGTCCACGGGTAGGTTGCAGAACCACCAGACGACTGGAGTACACGAGTGGAGTTCAGGGCCTGCAGTTCGCCCAGAGTCCGGAGGCCTGCTCCTGGCTGCTGCTTTCCCCTCCAGGGCACCTGGCACCAGGGAGGGGCAGCACCCACTTGGAGCCCGGGGTTCCGGCTGCCAGGATGGGCGAGGGCATGGCTTGGGCAAGGCCTGGATGGGTGGAGACTGTTCCTGAGCTCCCACCTAACCCCAGACCCTCACTTCCAGAAGAGCTGCCCTCCCTCTTTCCCACTGCCAAACCCCACCACAGAACCATGGCCAGGCCAGCTCTCCTGTCTCCCATCCTCGCTGAGGCTCGCTGGGCCATGACGGTGGAACCCGCCTGCCTCTGCTAGTCCTGGACTGTCTGGTCGGCCCCAGCCCTGCTGGCACCCACTCCCGCACCTGCCCAGCTCACCCACTGTCACCGCAGGGCTTGGTCCCCCAAGCCCTCCAAGGCCAGTTACCTGACAGGAAAGGAACTCCAGGCCATGAGGCTGCATGCTGGCTGGCCACAGGGCAGTGGGGAACCCACGGCCTGGCCCCACCTGGAAATAGCCACCAAGCTGTGACCAGCATGGGGGTACTGTTCACTGCCAGTAGTCCTGCCCTGGTCCGTGTTGTGTGTGTGTGTGTGCTCATGTGCATGTGTGTCTCTGTGTGCATGTGTCTACATACATGTGTGTATGTGTTGGTATCTATGTGCGTGCTTGTACATATGTGCATGCATGTGCTTGCGTGTGAGCATGTGTCTGTCTGTATGTGTGTGTGCATGTGTCTGTCTGTATGTACGTTCATGTGTCTGTATGCATGTGCATGCTTGTATGTGCATACATGTATGTGCATGTATGTGTGAGCATGTGTCTCTGTGTATGTGTGTGCATGTGTCTATATGCATGTGTGTATGTGTGTGCTTGTATGTGTGAGCATGTGTCTGTATGTGTGTATGTGTGTGTGCATGTGTATGTGTGTATGTGTCTGTCCTGCTTCCTCCCTGCGATCTGTCTATACCTTCCTAGCTGCCTAGGTGTCTGCTCTGCCCCCCAGGCGCCCGCTCTGCCCTCCAGTCCACACCTTCCAGTCCCCCAGGTGTCCGCTCTGCCCTCCGGGGGCCTGCTGGCTCAGGTGGCCCCATGAGACCCTCCCCTCTTCCAGACGAGGAAATGGTGGTGCAGGAATGTGAAGAATGGTTCCGTCCTGCAGCAGGTGGGATGCGAGTCCGTGGTTTGTGGGTCCCCAGGCTGGCCAGGGGGCAGGGAGGGTCTCCATTGGTATGAAAGGTACTGCTGAGAGCAGGGTGGGGGCGTGGGGGCAGAGAAGCAGGGCGCAGGCCAGTGTGGGCACTCAGCCCCCAGCACCAGCATCTGAAGCCTTCTGAGGTCAAGGGTAGACACGGGTTCCTGCAGGGAGCTGTTCTGGGTCTCCGGGGCAGGCTGCCTACCCTGGGGAGGCCTGCGTTCCCACTTACCCCAGATAAAGCAGGTGGGGACGCCCAGAAGCAGGCACTGTGCTGACGGCTGGGCGGTCCTGGGTAAAAGCCAGGTGGCAGAGGCAGGGGAGGAGCCCTAGGGGCACAGCGGGGAAGGAGCAGGCGTCCTGGAGCAGGGGGTGGCTGAGCTATGCCGGGCAGGAGCAGGCCCGGCCTGTCCTTGGCTCCACCAGCACAGCATGGCCAGCCTGGCCCTCTGCCTCTGAGTCTCTGGCCTGCGTGCCGGGTAGAGTGCGGCGGGTCTGGGAGTCATCAGCTCCTTGGGCCTCTGTCCCCCAGCTGTGAAAGCGGGCCACATATCATTTACGTCTGTCTGTGGGCACCTACCCCAAAGCACTGCGGGGTTTTGTTTAGAAATGCTTGCTGTACGGCGCGTGTGCCTAAGAGATGGAGACAGACAAAGCGAGAAATCACCCTGGGGGGATGGCCATGACACAGTCCCTTCTCTGTCCTCTCACGCTTGGTGTGAGTTTCAATCTGCCAGGTTCGGGACTCCAGTCACGGTCCACCATATGGGAGTCCAGTGCCTTAACCACTACGCCACCTGTTGGTCCCAGGCACTGTGGTTTATAATAGTGAACAAGTGTTTTCTCCATACCTGCAGCACAGGTGCAGTTCCACTGTGCCTTCTGGCACCTGCTTTCTTGAGAGGCTGCAGTAGAGTGTGGCCTGTGGTCTGGGGCTGGGGCTGGGCTGGGCTGGGGCTGGGCTGGGGCTGGGCGCTGGGCTGTGGGCTGGGCTGGGGCTGGGCGCTGGGCTCTAGGGCTGGGCTGTGGGCTGAGGTTGTGGCTGTGGGCTGGGGCTGGGTCTGGGCTGTGGGCCGTGGACTGTGGGCCGTGGACTGGTCTGGGACTGGGCTGTGGCTGTGGGCTTGCCCTCAGGCTCTGTCCAGGAGACCTACTTTGCAGCTCACTTGTGGGATTGCTCCCAGCTCTGTCCCTTGTCACTGGGGCTGTCTTTCAGCAGAGCCACCAGCCTCCCCTAGGATGAAGGGCCTGAGACGGAGGGTGTGTGGCGTGTAAGACAAACCTGTCGGCTTTTAGAAAACAACTCTGGGAGCTGGCACTGCATCCTTGCTCCTCCCACCCAGTGGGGGGCTCACATAAGCCCACAGGTACCAGGGTCCCTAGGACCATCCTGGAGGTGACCAGCACCCCTCCCTTGCAGAGTGCCTCAAGGGCACAGAGAACTGGGCACCTTAGCCCCAGCACGCACCTCTTCCCACATAGCACCCTTAATCCTTCCACATCAAGGCCTCCCTACCCCGCCTCCCCTGGCTGCGGGGACCCAGAGCTGGAGACTACATGGCCTAGGATGGAGGATCTGCAATGAAAAGGGACGCGGTGGGGCCGGAGGGGCGGGCGCAGAGGAGGAGCGCACGTGCCCAAGGCCCGGTGTCCTCCGCGGAGCCCCTCCAGTGAGCCCAGACTCAAACGGACGATTAACCCCATGTTAGAGCCAGCGAGCCACGCTCTCAGGGCGGGCCTGCGCTGCCTCCTAATGAGCCTTACGTAAGGGCTGGGGACGGCGCCACCCGCACCCGGGCTCCTGCAAAATAGATCGCTGCCTTTATATAGCTGCGTCTGCTGGCTCCGCCGCCGCGCAGAGGCGCTGATGTAGGTCAGATATTGCTTGGTGAGAATTAATTAATCTATAATTGTATCGAAGGAAGGGGAGCACAACAAGCCGGCATGCAGCGTGTCGGCTGGGAGCAAACCGTGCAGAGGGAGCTCTGGAAGGGACCACAGCCGCAGCCTGCACCCCTGCCCTGAGAGCCCCAGCCTGGGTGAGCTCTGGCCCTGCCTCCAGACACTGCCCACATTGTCCGGGCCCTGCAGCCCGGCAGCCCCAGAGGAGGCCCCACCTAGCCCACCGTGGGCTGCCATGACCGCGACCAGAGAGCCAGGCTCCTCTGCCAATGCTGTCCCCGCTCCCCCCAGCGCC